TCCCATGACAGTAGGTCTTTATAAAAAGAGCAAGCCTGGCCCCTCTCTGATCTCTTGCTTCCTGTCTCACTATGTGATCTCCTCCACATGCACTCCCACCATTGTAATGTCATCTCCATGAGACCCTCACCAGAGCCTAACAGATGCTGGCAGTGTGTTCTTGAGCCTCTGGTGGGTGGAATAACACTCTTTTCTTTTGCAAAGTACCCAGCTTCTGGTATTTTGTTACAGCAATACAAAAAGACTGAGACACTTGAAAAATATACTTACTGGTTCTCAAATAGGGTGCCTAATGAAACTATTCAAAAATACAAATGTGTTGGCTCTGTTCCAAATGGATTCAGTTAGAACCACTCACGGATACTATTTCACTTCAGGATTAAACTCAAGCAACACTTTCCCAAATCCAAAACCTTTATGACCACTTAGCATCTTGTTTTTTCCAGCTAAAGGAAATTCAATGCCTTTATGTTGGAACTTCAGGGGGAAAGTACGCATTGTCTAGAGGACACCCCTCCAAGTTTCCTGATTCAAGTCTGTCATTGTGTTTGAGATGTTCTTCCGTTCTGTAAATTGTAGGTGACTGATGGCAATACAAAAAAACTTCTTTCTCTATACATTCAAATTATATCCTGACTTGTAGAAGTTGAATTGATTTTCCTTTCCCTCTTTGGAAAAAAGCAGTTTTGCTTCCATTTGTACATTCATTTCATCACACTTGACCTATAAGTGGGTCTCTCTTCTTGCAATTGTTTGTGACCTTGTTGTAATATCTGCCTGACTCCCTCAATGAGTATTGAGATGAATAAAATCTTAAACATGGGTTTGTTTCTCTCTCTCTCTCTTTGGTTTTTGTCATTGTTACTGGATTGTTACTGGGGATTGAACCCATAGCTACTTCACCACTGAGCTTTTTATCCCCAGTCCTTTTTATTTTTTAACACAGAGTCTCCCTAAATTTCTAAGGCCTCAAACTTGTGATCCACCTGCCTCAGCCTCCTGAGCTGCTGGGATTACAGGCCTGTACTACTGCACCTGCCTCATTTTTCTTGTTCTGGGAAAATTATCTTCAACATGCAAATAGCAAGTACTTTCCTTTTCTCTGCTCTGGCCATCTGCTACTTTGCTTTGGTTGGAATTTACTCAAGGGAATTTCTCAGAAGAGAACTCCTGCCCTTGTTGTGCCCTTCCTCCATATGCATAATATCTACCATGGATTCCTGGAAGAACAGTGGAATAGCCAAAAATCTTTTATTTTTAATTAAAGGCAAAGAGAGATCGGGGCATTGACTCATCACCATCTCTTTTACAAATAAAATAGCATAAGCTAAACCAAAATTAAGTAAACCCAAGAGATTTTCACTGGACTCCCTCAGTGTTCTTTCTTGATCCTTTCTCACTTGTGTGGTTGACATTTCATCAACATTTACATGTACTAGAATTGTTTTATTTATAATACCTTTGCATGACGCTGTGGAAAATAAAAAGTACCTGTGATCTTCCTGAGTACACAGAATTAGTCTATAAAAACTATTATCACCTTAACTGGAGCTATTGGCCAGAACACATACACAACAAGTTTTCACGTCACTTGGGATTCCTTATACCATTGTGGCTGGGTTCCAAGGAGGAGCATCCTCAGAGACAGCCAGGAAGAAACTGTGCCACCTTCCATGGTGAGCCTCAGAAGTCACTAAGTACATTCTGCTGCATTCTGTTCAGGTCCACCTTTGAGAGGATGAGACCTGGGTAGCCCCTCAGGGCCTCGTGATTTAAAAGGGCCTCTTGTTTCTTTAACACCTTGCTGTCGCCACCTTGAAATTCTTTAATGATATCTGGACCGGAGCCCTTCATTTTCATTTTGCACTGGGCCCCCAAAACTGGGTTGCCAGTTCTGATTTTTTTTTTGTCCATGAAGCCACAAAGACCTGCCCAGACTCATAGGGTGGGAATATCAAGTTAGTCTCCTTTTTTAATTGGTGCATTATAATAATACATAACCGTGGGACTCATTATGCCATATTTGACTACCTTTTTGATGAAGCAGCAGATTTCTTGGACTGTTCTTGGAAATACTGTTGTGGCCTTTTTTTAGAAAATGCTACCTGCCACAGAGGATTGATTTATGGAGAAGTTAAGACAAAACAGGACATTTAAAAAACTTTCCTCCAATTTATAAACTTCCCAGCCTCTGCAAAGACACCTTTGGGTCCTCCCTGCTCCACAAAACCCTCCTAAAGAGAAGCAAAGGCAGCTGAGCCCAGTAGCACATGCCTGTAATCTCAGAGACTCGGAAGGTGGGAGGAGAATCACAAGTTCAGGGCCAGCCTTAGCATTTAGTGAGACGCCGTCTCAAATTTTTTTAAAAAAGGCTGAGGATGTAGCTCAGTGGCAAAGCACCCATAGATCAATCCCAATACCAAAGAAAGAGAGACAAAGGTGATATCAAAGTGTCCATATATCCATTCAACAAATCCTGATTGAGTGCACACTGGGGGAGCATTTATAAATGACTCAGAGACCTTGTCCTCAATAGGCTGGGGCAAGAGTCCCAGCAATGGCTGGCACAAATGAAAGGAGAAGAGAAAACAGAAGGTAAAGGACCAAGAACCCTGAGAACAAAGTCCTAGGGATGTCCAAGAGAGCCAGCTTCCTGGAGACATGGCATCTGTGTGGCCCCTCCCATTCATTCAACAACATCATTCATTCATTCACTGAACAAGTATCATGTACGCCATTTGTAAGTTCCCACCCTGGTGGAGCTTGCTTTACAAGATACACACCTGTTTGTCTCATCTATATCTGATTTAAATGACTTTTGGCTTTAGACTTTTGAATTTGGGCTGGAACAAGAACTTGGGGATTATTGAGATGGAGTGGCTATATTTTGCTTGTGCAAGGGACATGAATTTGGGGAAGGGATGTCATGGTCTGGATGTTGGTATCCCTAACAAAATTTATGTTGAAATTAATATCCAATGTGTTAGTATTAAGAGATAAGATCTCAGGCTGGGGGTGTGGCTCAGTGATAGCACACTCGCCTGGCATGTGTAAGGCACTGGGTTCGATTCTCAGCACTACGTATAAATAAATAAAGGTCTATCAACAGCTAAAAAAAAATTTTATTAAAAAGACATAGGGTCTCTGGGGGAGTGATTAAGTCATGAGGCTCCACCCTCATGAATGGGATCAGTGCCCCTGTAAAAGAGGTCGGAGGTGGCTGCCTTTCCCTATCTGCCCTGGAAGGACCAGGGAAGGCAGCACCTAGGATATGGAACTGGAGGGTATTATGTTCAGTGACATAAGCCAGACACAGAAAGATAAATGCCGCATGTTGACTCATATGTTAGAATAAAATCGATCTCAAAGGCAAGAGCAGAATAGTGATTATAAGAGGCTGGAAAGGTTAGGGAGGCAGAGGATAGAGGATAATGGGATAATGGTACCAACATTCAGTTAGATCAAAGTAAGTTCTAGCATCCTACAGCACAGTAGGGAGACTGCAGTCCACTACCAGATACTGTATAAAAACTAGAAGAGAGGAATTTAAAGATTTCAGACACAAAGAAATAATGGAAGTGTTAATTATCCTGATTTAATTTTCCTGATTGCATCTTATAACATTACTCCATGGATACATACAATTATTATGTATTATTTTTAGGAATTTTGAGCCAGTCTTTAAACCAATTTTTCTCGAAATTGGACATGGGAGAGCATTTATGCCATGACAACGGAATACTGAGCTTAGGATTTTAGAGCTGTTTTATGTCAAAATAAATGACATTTATTTATTTTTTATCATTGTTGCTTTGTTTATTATTTATTACTGGAATATTTTAACAATTTAAGTTTTTCAGTGCATCTTAATTATACAAAACAATGGGGTTTTGTGGCACATTCATGCATGCAAATAACACATGTGATCATATATGATCCCCTCTCCCTGATCGTCTCTCCCTGATCCCCTTCCACTTCTCTAATGGTCTCCTTGCTTCTTTCACAACATCTTTTCCTCCCCCTAGATTCCACATATGAAGGAAAACAAAACCCTTGTCTTTCTGTGTCTGGCTTATCTTGCTTAACATTATGATCTCCACCCCCGCCGATTTTCCTACAAATGACATAATTTCATTCTTCTTTATGACTAACACTGGGTTGTGTATATGTTCACCGCATTTTCTTTATCTATGCATCTATTGCCGGCATCTAGGCTGATTCCACAAGATGTCTATTGTGAATTCTGCTGCAGTAAGCATGGGTATGCTGACTGTAATTCTTTTGAGTATATAACCAGGAGTGGCCTAGCTAGATCTTGTGATGGTTCTATTTTTAGATTTCTGAGGCACCTCTGTACTGATTGACTAATGTATTAATCTACATTCCCTCCATAGGTATATAGGGTTCTTTTCCCCCCTGCATCCTCTCCAGCTTTTATTGTTTTGTTGTTGGTGGTTTTGTATTCTTAGGTGAAAGCCATTCTGACTGAGGGGAAACAGAATCACAAAGTAATTCTGATTTGCATTTCCTAGATGGCTAAAATCTGGAACGTTTTTTTTTCATATAATTATTGACCATTCTTACTTATTTTGAGAAGCGTCTGAAGAAAAGATATTTCTGATGGGCTCAACAAACCTTTGGAGGTACATTTGCAGCATGAGGAATTTAGTCATTGCTGTCTGTCACCTTCGGACAAGTATCAGGATGGTCAGGATACGTTTTGCGCTTCTTTGCATTGTATGACGTTTTTGTATATTTTAAAAATCGAATGAAAAAATACTTCGGAGATGGAAAGTCCTGCGTGGTGATAACCACCCACACGGTGACGGCCGCAGCTGGCTGACCAGGGGAGGACACTCAGTCCTTGGGGCACGCGCACAGGTGAGCGCTCCCAGGCCAGCTGCGCGTGCGCACAGGTGTGCTGCCGCCCTCCCTGCCGCTGAGTTTGGCCACCTGCCCGGGAAACTTGTCGCTCTCGGGCGGGGACACGGAACCGGGCCATGGAAGATTCGCTGGGGACTCGCGAGCCCCGGGTTCGACCGAGAGAACGGGACCCGGACCGGCGCCCCCGCCCGGACCGAGACCACCACCCTGAGCGACTGCGGGACAGAGCCGGGGACCGGCGCAGGGAAAGGAATGGGGACGACGCGCGGAGGGACAGGGACCGGCGAGAGGATCGGGACAGAGGGAGGGACCGAGACCCCCACCAGGACAGACACAGGGACGCGGGCCGTCGCTCAAGTGAGCAAAGAGGTTGGGAAAAGTCTCGCCAAAGCCGGACGCGGGACACAGCCCCGAGACCGACCTGGGACACAACTCGGGGACCGACCTGGGAGGCAGCCCCACCCCCTTGGCCCGGGCCTTGGGAAACCCCGGAGCCTCCCGCCCCGAGGAAGGAGAACTTCGGTCGCCATGCACCACAAAGGTGAGGGGACTGCTGGGGACACGGGGCCCTGCGACCACGGCCAAGGCCAATCTGCGCTGCCCTGGCTTCCTAGAAAGCCCATTTAAAAGAGGAAATACCATTTCTCTCTTTTGTGCCCTCGGAAGTGACCCTGGAGAGAAAGGAAAGCGTAGGGTGTCCCCACCAATCCCAGATAAAGCAGAAAGCACTCCTCTTGGCAGTGGCAGGGCTGGGACCAGGTAAAGAGGAAGAGGGCCCCAGGACAGGAAAAGCCAGGTTCACGTGAAGCTCTTCCCTGACACCATTCCCTACCCTATCAGGACCGCCCCTTAGGGCTTCAGACCCTGACTCTCCTAACTCTCCTCTTCCTTCTTCCCTTCCTCCTTTAATTCTTCTTCCTCATCCTCTTGTTCTGGGGATTGAACCCAGGGGCGTTTTTCCCCTGGGCCACATTCCCAGTCTGCCGTTTTAAAAAAAATGTTTGAGACAAGGCCTTGCCAAGTTCCTGAGACTAGCCTTGAACTTGCCACCTTTCTGTCAGCCTCCTGAGTTTCTGGGCTTACAGTCAAGCACCACCATACAGCTCCTCCTCAACTTTCAAAGTCCTGGTCCCTGGTGTCCAGGACCAAATAAAGTCAGCCCCATGAAGAGTTAATAATTTAACATGTTACCCCTTTAGGGCTATATGCATTTCAAAAACAGCTGGGAGAGAAGCTACACTTTTAACCAAGGAACTAAATCTACCTAAACTTTGTTCACGGAAGGACATAGATTTGTTTCCTTCTCGTCAGTGAGGTCTTCAAGGAAGCCTCTTTCAAATCTCACATTGAGACCCCACCTTCCTTAATGAACAAACTTTGCTATCCCTACCTTGAAGAACAAGGAATTCCCATAAGCTCCGGTAGAACAAAGATCATGATGTTCTGGAAGATCATGTGCACTAGGGGAGAGTGGAGATGGAAGAACCAGGCCACCCCTTGTCCTCATGTGCCCTTCTAGGAAGCTAACATTTCATCCAAGTTCACAAATGTTACTGAATGTGCAAATAATGTGACCAGTGCTGTGGACTGAATAGATAGGATATTGTTCCTGCCATCCCCAACAAGGAGGCACACAGATCCTGTGGCAATGATTGCCTCCTGCTTTTTCATACACAGCTTCCACTGAGGGACTCAAAAGCTGAGCCCAGTCTCTCGCAGTTGTGTTCACACAGCTGTAAAGCTACTATCCTGAGTTTATGTTACATTATCTAAAACCAACTAGTATGACAAAGGTTGAGCCCAGATTGGCACTAGCTATTGTTTCTCTGACTAAAGCCACATTGTACAGCAACTGCACGACTAGGAAAATTGAGGGCCGCCTTTTTAAGTTTCCTTATAAACTAGAGTCCCAGTTCCCCCACCCCAAAGTGAGTGAAGGAAATACTTTCATTTTTCGCTTCTTTTGCTCACCACCAATTGGAGATTTGAAACCAAAGGGCAATTTATTCCTGTCTATTTTCTACTTAAGCATTTATTTAATGGATAGGTTGGCGGGACAGGGCTGCAGAGATCTACCCTCTTAGTGTTCACAGCCTGGTATACGAGAATGACAGGTCAGCAGGTCAGATGCAGCACAGTGTGAAATGGGCTGCAGGAGAAACTTGGATTAGGAAAGAACAGAGCTGGGCTCCTGAGCAGGCTCAGGCAGGCTTTCCAGAGGAAGGACCACAAGCTGAGTTCTAGAGAAGCAATAAGAAGGGGAAGGCTGAAGGAGGAAGGTGGAAGGTGTTTTAAGCAGAGGAAGTGTCTGCAGTGACCCAGAGGCATGGGAGAGCACGTCATCTTTTGGGGCGAAGGTCAGTTTCACTGAGTCTGGGTCTGTGAGCCTGAGGCTATAAGTGTAGAGAAATAAGCAAAGGCCTACTGTGCAGTACTAAATGTTTAAGGATTTCAAATCTAAGGTAAGTTCTGTGTTCTAGAAAGATCCCTGGAGCCTAGCAAGTAGAATGCAGCCTCCTATTGAATCTTAGAATCCAGAATGTGCTAGATAAATGTGGGAGAAAGAAGATAGAAAGTGCCAGGATTGGTGGAGGAAGAGAAGATAGGAAGATCTCAAAAGTTGTTTGTAGCTCCCATCTTCTTGGAGAATTTCCACAGTAACCACAGACAGAAGAGCATGCCAACCTGGACTCCATAGTCTTGTAAATACACACTAGTTCTGAGAGGCCTAGTCCTTGCCGAACTGAGAACCTCAACTCTTAGAGGCAGCTCCCAGCTCCCTCCCTGGTTAGGCAGCTTCCACAGGCAGATGACCTAGCATCCAAGGCAGCACTTAGGTGTTCAGGATTACAGGATCGGTCTTGGGGTTAACTAGCCGTGTTGGGTCACATGTTTAGATGTTTGGTGGTGTCACTAAACCAAAGAAGCCTCTGGAGTCTGAAATACTGTGGCAGAGCTTGTTTCTGTTCTGCACATTCTGTAACTTTCAGGCCCATGGCGAAGAGTCAAGAGTTCTAATACCGACTGAGCCACTGAATTGGAGGCCCATTCCTAATGGCTGTGTGTGCTTTTCAGTTATAGTGAACCCACCTCGGGGAGATATGTGCCCTCGCACCCCAGGCCTGGACTAGAGGAAGTGGAATATTACCAGTCGGAGGCGGAGGGGCTCCTGGAATGTCACAAATGCAGATACCTGTGCACAGGGAGAGGTGAGCCTTTATGGAATCTGTGTACTGTTTGCTGTTGCAAGTGGTCTGAAAGTGGGGGACAGACTTTCCTTTGGGGTTCTAGTGTTTTCATTTCCATACCTATCTGAGGTTCTTGCTTTCCAAAAAGAAAGAAAGAAATAGAAACTATTTTATGAGCTATCATTCTCCAGACAAGAAACCAGAGAAAAAAGTGATTTTTAAGAATACCCATAGCACTCATATAAATATGCCCTGTGCAGAGAAACGTTGGACCCCTCGCATTTTCATCTCCATACCTGCATGAGGTTCTGTCTCTCTGAGCAAAGGAAAGTGTAGAACAGGCTGCTCTCCTGGAGCACTGAGCAGCCATGTTTGCAGTTTCCAGACTCCAGGTGGAGCCCCAAGGGCTGCAGGTGCAACTGGCCATGAGCTGCCAGGTGTTGGTGGGGGCTTCTCTGACAATGTAGCTGAGTTTGGAGAGAAGAAAAATCACCCCAGTGGGCCATCAGGTTGCAGCCCAGACCACATAGACAGGAGCAAATGGTCTTCTTGGAGCCCTGACGCCCAAATACTTCATCAATAGCTTTTGATCACGCCATTGGCTGAGATGCACTGTAAGAAATACATTTTACATTAAGACCAAGTTCACACGCACAAACAAAAATGCCATGAAACTCCACTTGCCTTACTACATATCAAACACACTGGTATTTTCTGTTTTATTGGAAGCAAAAACCAAAAAACCTATTTATTGAGTACATGAAGTCTGCAAAACACTGAGCTAATATTAAGTGTCAGCTCTCAGGGTTCTCATCTTAGCATGGGTCCTGCCTGAGCCAGCAATGAAGAAAATCTGGTTCATCAGGGTGAGCCCTAATGGCATGTGGGATTTGTAAGCAATCTTCCTGGGCTACATATAAATTAGGGAGAAAACAGCCCAGCCTAAGGGAAGAGATCATGGAGCTCCTAACTGAAAATGTATCTTAGGGTGATTACGAAGATGTACATGATTATAGGATTATAAGGAACTTTAATGAAAGGCCTCTAGGCAATCCCAGTTAGGGATCATTATCTTAATTTACGTATGTTGGTGCAGCCTCCTTGCCTTTTAAGTCTCTCAACAACTCCTGAGGCTCAGAGAGGTACAACAAGTCATCCAAAGTCACACAGCTGTTATGTGAAGGAGCTATGATGGAAATTTAGAACCTGACCCTAAGTCCTCAAGTAGTTTACTTGCTTAGTTTCTTCTTTTCTTGATCATGTAAATAACAGGAACAAGCCAGAGGCTGGCTAACAGGTTTCTCCCTAGGGACATTTTTCTTTTGGGATTGATTTACCAAGAGGAAAGGGCAGGGCTTAGGGCCTCAGACTGAAACAGACCCTGTGGTTTAGGCTTCATTGCTTCTGGCACTTTGGCTTTGAGCCTGAAGGTTGGGTTTCTAAGTCAAGGTAGTGAAAGAATAGTTCAGCCTCCAGAAACTAACAAATGAGGGCTTGAAAGGAACTCTGGATGGACAGAGACCCATAGAAATACACAATACAGCATTGTGTTGAGAGAAACAACCATTGAACACCAGGAACTTGACTCAAGCAGGAAATACATGCCTGGATAAAGGTCAGCTGAAGCTCTTTAGACCCACCTTAGAGTAGATCCTCTGTGACTTCCTTATCAGTGAAGTCATGCCCCACCCCCAACAGACTTGCAAAAATTGGGAACAATTGTAGCCCTCCTTCTCTTTCTAGGGAGACTGGGCTGAAATCTGGGCTGTGATCTAACTCAGAAAGCTCCATGGATTACTAGGAGGCGAACAAAAAGAGGCAGGCCCCAGATTTACTTTTACAAGCAAGAATTCTCTGATACTAAAAGCTTTTAGTATAGAGATCAGACTGAAGCCAAGTCACATGCACATATCAGGCCACCAGAGAATCCTGTGCATGTGTAGGTTGTGCTCCTTTATTATTGAGAGGGATGGGTAAGCCCGGCAGGAAGGTGCATTTCCCGGCTCCTGTTTGCACCCCGCAGCTTCTCCTTTCCCTTTTGTTTTTTCCCTTGTGCTCAAATCATGGGGTTTGTATTCAGCCTCTCGCCTTAACTGCAAAGCACGTTTCAAAGGTTAATCTTCAGCCAGGCACTGGTGGTGCCCACCTGTAGTCCCAGCTACTTGATGGCTGCGCAGGAAGATTGTTTGAGCCCACAAGTTCAACAGCCTGGGCAGCTTAGTGAGAGTTACCCGCCCCTCCCCCCAAAAAAAGGGTTATTTACTCCATGACAGTTGTCATTTCTAGAGTCAGTAGTGCTGATCTCTCATTCAGAGTCTTGAGGTGTAGGTGCTGAGTGTTCCGAGTTTGTTTTTCAGAGGAGCGATTTCCTGACAAGGAACCTGAGCTGGAGGAGTTGCCAGCACAGTCCATCCTGGGCAGGAGGGGAAGGACAGGGGGCCCTAAAACTTTGTGATGGCCCTAAAAAGGTTCAGGGTAGAAGTTGTGGTCGTTTTCTAGTTTATGCTCACACTCCCCTCTTTTTGTGTGTTCGGAGCTCCTGCAGTCCCCTTTATCCTAATGCTTATTGAACACCCTGTGCAGAACCTGTCTGCACTGAGATCAGATCAAGATTTCAAACTGCAGCTGACTTTAACAGTGTTAACTGATTAACAGATCTGAATGCCATGGCCAGAGTCCAAGTAAGGAGTGACCCTAGGCAAACTGCCGAGGTTTTTTTTTTTTTTTTTCTGGTTTTATTTTGTCTTTTGTGCTGTATTGGGGACTGCATCCAGGTACCCTACACTGAGCTACATCTCTGACCCCTTTCATTTTGAGACAGCGTCTCACTAACTTGCAATCCTCCTGCCTCAGCCTCCCAAGTCACTGGAATTACAGGCACGTGCCACCCTGCCAGCTGAACCTCTGGTTCTTAGGGCAGAGAAAGGTGCTGGCTCAGAACCATATTCCCTGGAGTTCTGAGAGGGCCGTCTACCCCAAGGAAAGCCTGGGAGCCTCTGGGCTTTATTTTAAGGGTGCCATTGGCCATTTCCACAGCCCGAGGCATTCTTTTGTGGTTACACAAAAGTTTTGTTTTTTGTTTTGTTTTTTTTTAAGAGAGAGTGAGAGAGAGAGAATTTTTTAATATTTATTTTTTAGTTTTCAGCGGACACAACATCTTTGTTTGTATGTGGTGCTGGGGATCGAACCTGGGCCTCAGGCATGCCAGGCAAGCACGCTACCACTTGAGCCACATCCCCAGCCCTACACAAAAGTTTAAAAGAGGAATAAAGGGTTTGGTGGGGGCTGTAGTCCTTCTAACATTCTATTAAGAAATTCCTTTCATACAGCAACATGCTGGGAAAGCCTAAATGTCCCTTACATTGCAATGATTCAATTGTGGCCATCATATTTTTTTTTCTTTTTTTTTAAGAGAGAGAGAGAGAGCGAGAGTTACTGCTTGAGCCACATCCCCAGCCCATCATATGTTTTTTAAAGTTATGAAGTAGATTTATATTTACTGAGATAGAAAAATATTCATACTATATTCTTAAGTGGAAAAATAGGTCATACAATAGTAGATAAAAGCAAACAAACAACAATAAAAATTATGAACATGTGGTACAAAAGTCTAGAAACTAAATTGTCCACCAGGCACTATGGCATACACATATAATACCAAAGGATTGCAAGTTCAAGGCCAGCCTCAGAAACTTAGTGAGACCCTGTCTCCAAATGAAAAAGGCCAAGTGGGGTGGTGCATATCTGTAATCCCAGTGGCTCGGAAGGCTGAGGCAGGAGGATCTAAAGTTCAAAACCAGCCTCAGCAACTTAGTGAGGCCCTAAGCAACTTAGTGAGACCCTGTCTCTAAATAAAATATAAAAAAAGGGGCTGGGGAGGTGGCTCAGTGGTTAAGTGCCCCTGGGTTCAATTCCAGTACCAAAGTAAATAGCTAGTTAGCTACATAGATAGATAGATAATAAAAATAAAAAATACTGGGAGGTAGCTCAGTGGTGGAATGCTTGCCTAGCATGCTCAAGAGGCCCTGGGTTCAATCCCCAGTACCATACACACCCACACATACATACTCACCACATATATATGTATGTGTGTGTGTGTGTGTGTGTATAAATATACACACACATGTGTATAATTAAAAAATCAATATATATTATATATAATGTTCACAGTGGTTAATTTATTTCTCTTATTTACATTTCCTTTCTTGCAATAAGTTTTATAATTAAAGAAAAACAGTGACATTATTTGCATTTGGACAGAGAGTTACAAGTGAAGATGGCATTTCAATTAAAGAGTACCATCATTCAATTAAAGAGTACATTGATGTCACACAGGAAATAGGCCAGCTGGAAGCAGGCCTATTTCCCTTGCAGCCAGGGAAAGGCCACTGGGCTGATCCCAGAGCGTACAGTGCCAGCTCAGAAATACCAACTTTCTATTGTGCTGAGCAAAAGAAGCCAGAGTTCATGAAAGTACATTACTGTATAATTCCAGGTACATGACATTTAAGATAAACCAACTTCTAATCAGAGGAAGCAGGTCAGAGGCTGCCCAGGGAGGAGGAGAGGAGTTGACCACAAAGTGCTCCTAGGGAAATTCATGTGCTCTGTATCTTGATTATGGTTACACTTGTCAAGACTCATCAAGCCAGTACACTGAAAATGAGACATTTTATTGTGTGTAAGTTGTATCTCAATAAAGTTGATTTTAAGGAGAGCGGATACCTTCCCTAGTCCAAGATAAAGAAGCCATGGGCACTGAAGGAATTGAACTCTGGGGAAATATTCCAGCCCAAATGATTACTCTTTAGGAAAACTAAATAAAATTAAATTAAACTTTAAGACATATTTATGGAGTTGAAATCTAGAAGTAGTTTCTTTAATCCAGTAAGTATCCTAGAATCAATTAACTTAATCTTTGATATTTTTAATAAGCGAAAAACCACAGTAAACATTTTTTTTACTGCTTACCACTGAGCTCACTCCCAGGCCCAGACATTTTTTTTTTCCTAGTTGTTGAT